GACTCATTTAAAGACCTGGAATTACTGGTTCATTATAAGAATAATAAAGTATTTAATAGTTTTGTAAAACACCACCCCCACAATGCCCCAGTGAGGAACAGGACCTGCTGTTTTGGCAGTGGTAAAAGCACATTTTAGAAAACAGTCATCCAAATTCTAAAATGCCTCTTTCTGACTGTCACCAATATTTGAAGAAGGTGGATATGATCTACCCATTGAGCACTAGGCCACAGCATCTTAAAGTCGCAAATGCACAATATGTGGCGGCAATGTGACATGAGGTAATATAAGATACATGATTTAGGACTGATAGAACTAATAGATCAATTAGTAGAAGTGGTATTAGAAATATGGAAAAAAGTAGAATCTAGGTATCTGCAGACATCCATTGTAAGCAGAAATAGATATGGGGCTCAGCACATATCTGCACGTTACAGGCACTACAATTTCAAGAATGTGTACATGGACTATGTTGAGAAAAGATTCCCTGGCCTTTGTCCAGGCTGGCTACATTAACCTGACACTGAACTTAAGCTAACATGCCTTGCTGGGCTTGGCTTACAGCTGGCCTCCTCAAAATGCAAACAGAGGAACAGAGGCCTGTCTGCACCTACTTGCACAGGCATGGACTTTAATAACCTGAGCTCAAGTCTTATAGATTCATGTCTTTTGAACTTACTTCTAAATGATACTCTCAGGTGAGCTGAATATGGCAAGGGATGTGAAGGGGAATGAAAAGTGATTCTACACTTACATAAACAGCAAAAGGAAGCCCAAGGAAAACATGGGCCCACTGCTAAACGTGGCAGGGGCCCTGATCACAGAAAAGGCTGAGTTACTCACTGTCTTCTTTCCCTCAGTTTTCAGTGGCAAGACCAGGCTTCAGGAATCCCAGTCCATCAACAGCTGAGGGAAAGTCTGGAGCAAAGACGACTTACCTTATGTGGAAGAGGACCAGACTAGGGAGCACAAACTAGTAATACACAAGTCCACGGGGCCTGACAGGATGCCCCCAGTAGTACAGAGGCAACTGGCTGCTATCACTGCAGACTGCATCCTCAGCAACTCTGCAGCTGACACAAAACTGGAAGGAGTGGCTGATACCCCACAAATGGGTCTGCTTCTATCCAGAGGGACCTGGACAGGCTGGGGAAATGAGCCAACAGGAACCTCGTGGCAAACTCTTGCACCTGGGAAAGTATAACCCCATGCACCAGTACATGCTGGAGGCAGACCAGCTGGAAAGCACCTCTGCAGAGAATGACCTGGGGATCATGGTGGACAACAAGCTGACCATAAGTGATCAACGCACCCTCATGGCAAAGGCCAAGAGCATCCTAGACTGCATTAGGAGCGTTGCCAGGAAGAAGGTGATCCTTCTTCTGTACTCACTCAGCACTGGCGAGGCCACACCTGGAGTACCATTCCCAGTTCTGAGCTCCACTTCGAGTGAATTCAGTGAAGGATCTTATCACAGAATGGATGAGGTTAGAAGAAACCTCTGGTGGTCATCTGGTCCAACCTTCCTGCTCAAACAGGGCCATCTGGGGCCAGCTGCCCAGAACCATGTCCAGACAGCTTTTGAATACCTCCAAGGACCGAAGCTCCACAACCTGCCTGGGCAACCTGTGCCAGAGCTCAGTAACCCTCACAGTAAAAAAGCATTTCCTGATGTTCAGAGGGAACCTCCTGTGTTTCAGTTTGTGCTCATTGCCTCTCATTCTGTCACTGGACCCCACTGTAAAGAGCCTGGCTCAGTCATCTTTGAACCCTCCCTGAGAATAAACCCAGGAACAAGCATAACATAGCTTTACTGTCCCAAAGCCAACAGTCCGCACACGAGGTGGTAGCTGTCTTATGTGTTAGCCTCAAGGACTTGTGGCAGGAATACCCTGGTGCTTGCACTTTGTATTTACTTCTGAGCTTACAGCAGGAAAGCATTATACAGTACTGGCCAAATTCCTCATAAACAGAAGTAGGCAAACACAAAAGGACAGAGGTTATTCTGCGTTCCACTGCCTCACCCATATAAAGTAAACAGCACAGCTCTTGGAGACAAGACCACTGCTGTTCCAGGGTCATACTGACTTTGGTATGGATTTACAGTTTCATAACAGCAGAACACAAAAGACCTGCACTGTTTTCATGATGTAAGCCAGTATAGTTTGTGTTCTGGCTGTAGTTGAAAATAATGTTTCGCTCAGCGTTCCTATGACTAATGAACTTTTGCTCATGAGATTTTACTTTGAGCACTGGGACAACCAGTGGTGTTCTAGAAGAGGCTCATTTACTCTGAAATATACTTTCCTTACTGACTCAAACAGCCTAAGTCCATTACTAGTCATAGGATAGTCTGCATATGAGTAATAACCAGCACATAAATCCATACATTTCTATCTCTAGGTATCAGACATAGGGAAGAAAGACTTGACAGCGTTTTTCCCAAATTTATTCTATTCTAAGTTTATTATACGTAAATTAAGTTTAATTCTTTGCATTTCCCTTCTTTTGAAGGCAAACAGGCACTGAAGGCATTACTGCAGTACACAAGCCCCTGGACCAAACCTCTCACCCTGCACAGAGGGGCTCTGAAATGGATAAGGAACGAAGGAGAGCAACAGATCTTGACCACCGCTGTCACTCGCAATCCCAGGCCGCAGGAGCTAGTAACAGCCTTCCACAAGGGAAGGAGCAACCGCTGCAGCCAAGGGAACGCCCGGCTGCCCCGCCAGTCCTGCAGACTTACCGACGACAGCTTAGTCGACCGCAATGCCTCCGGCGGGCCTCCCAGAGCAGAAACCTTCCCAGGACGGGCTCCGCTGCCGATTACATCTGGGCACCGCGGTCAGACCGCCGGCGAAAGGCAGCACGGCCGCTGCGTAGGCACCGGCCTGGTGGGGCCGGGCCGGGCCGGACCATGAGGTACAGGAGAGAGGGAACCGCGGCCCGCCCAGCTTCCCCACCGCTCAGGACCCCAAGAAACTGCGAACCCGCCTCGGTTTCC